GAAAAAGGGTCTTTGGAGTGGTATTTGTGTGGCTGGCAAAACATTAGCCAAAGGTTTTCAAACCTTCAGTAAATTTCAGATTGGATTTGGTTCAAGGGATTGGCAGAAGTTCAGTCTGGTTCTTATTTTATCTGAGCCAGTTAGTCCATCCTGTAAAACCCTAGTTAACCTGTTAGCTTGATCCTATAAAACCCTATCCTATTTACAAGTACAAATTCTAAGTGTCTGGGAAAATCTCCCTGAGCTAAAGCAGTGGGTGAAGCAAGGGCACTGAGAGGAGACACCGGGGCTTAAATTCAGTTGGAGCTGTCCGGAGCAGAGCTCTGGTAAATATTTTCAAACCTGCAGGGCAGAAGCCCTGAGCTCCGGGAAATACTCTTTGAGAATTTAATTCCTGGGAGACACAAATGAATGTATGCATGTCACAAACAGTATTACTGATTTCCAAGTTTCCTCTGTCACTGAATGGGTATATATTTTTGTATTAAGCCTGGGGCTTGAATTTGAGGTTTGCTGCATTTGTTGATTTGTAATTGCCTTGATATATTTGTATAGGCCAGGGATCGGCGGTGGGAAGTGGCGGCCAGCACATCCCTCAGCCCGCGCCGCTTCCTGCAGCCCCCATTGGCCTGGAGTGGTGAACCGCAGCCAGTGGGAGCTGCAATCGGCCAAACTTGTGGACGCGGCAAGTAAAAAAACCAGCCCGGCCTGCCAGGGTGCTTACCCTGGCGAGCCGCGTGCCAAAGGTTGCCGATCCCTGGTATAAGCCATTCTTTCTAATTAGCCTTAGCTACTATGAACTCATTCTGTTTTACTAACCTTTTACTGTATTTTTAAAAACTATCCTTCTCTTTTCCCTTTTTTGGAGGGAGAGACCTGAATATTGATACAAAATTTATATCAGTAAAATTGTTATAACCTATTTTTTAAAGTCATTACAAACTTGTTTGCATCTTTACTGAATATTCAGACACAGCTACAAGAATGTTCTATTTCCAAGCATCCTGGCTATAACAATACACATGGTTATGCTAATTATGTTAAAACATGTTGAAGCAAATCAAGCATTGTTTGCAGTGATATTGTAGCCATGTTGGTCCCAGGATATTAGAGAGACAAGGTGGATGAGGTAATAATCTTTTTTTTGGACCAACTTCTGTTGGTGAGAGAGACAGGCTTTCAAGCTTACACAGAGCTCTGCTTCAGGTCTGGGAAATGATCCTGAAAAAAATCTTTCTTGAACCCCCTCTTCTTGCCTGCAAACAACTCTCCAGCGTCAATAGCCCCTTGAAATATGTATTAACTACTTATGCTAAACAATCTGTTCTATCTTATATTTAGCTATGATACTGAGTATGGTTCCCAGACCTGAAGAAGAGCTCCAGTGCTTGTCTCTCTCACCAACAGAAGTTGGTCCAATAAAAGATATTATTGTCACCTACCTTGTCTCTCCAAAGCTAATCAAAGAAATTACAGAAGGTTTTTGCTTCTAGCTCCCAACCACAAGCAAACATCAAGCAGACAAACCATATAAACACTTTTAGGAAGAAACCTGACTGTGAAAGGAATGCAAAGTTGTGTTAGCATAAATCTAGAGATAAAGTGGGCCTATACCATCCCCCCATTTCTTTTCAAAGACAAAAACAAAGAATGTTAGAAATATCCTTATTGAAATTGATTATTTTGTAAACACACTAAAGTCTTCATTCTTTAAACTTGGAGAATATTTATGGTGAGAAATGTTGTACAGAAGATACTGGCTACTTCCAATTCATGTATATGGCTTAAAGGGGAAAACATTTGTTCTTTCTCAAATGCTTAAGATGACATACGTTTCTTTTAATATATTTATTTGCAAATATTTTGTATCTAAATGCAAGCCTTCATATAATAACGTTCTGATATCATTGTTATTTGACTAGTAAGAGGTATTATATACAACTGTAGCAAGGTTATTTGATGCTAGACTAATTACTGATGTAAGTAGCTATATAAGCATAGAATATATATACTAATGGGGAATTAATGAATTAATTACTGGCAGTGTTCAAGCAAACCCTCACCCAACACAGGAAGACAGGAAACTCATCATTCCAAAAATTGCCATGTATAGTCAACAACTTAGGCTAACAATTTTGTAAGACTTACTTACTTTTAACAGACTGTTTTGAAAACTAAAAACTCTTATATAAAGAACAGGAGTGTTTGGACTTTTTGAAAACATAATTTCATTTCCTGTCAAACTCTAATAAAAGTAAACAAAAAATCTCAGAAAATGGACTGAATAAAAAGAAGGCATTAAAAATAATTTTAAAAGTTATCTGGATCTTTCCGGCCACAAAAACAACTAAGACAATTAAAGAAATGTTGGATATTCATTAAACAGACTGCATATTCAGGAGCTAAAATTGTCACCTAAGCCAACCCTGAAGGAACGGAATGACAGCAACCAACTTGAATCTAACCAATCATGAAAGAGGTGTGTTTTCCTACAATTTCATGAAAATAAGAAGGGTAGAAAAGACTTTGAAGTGAGCACCCCAACTCACACCCCCTGCTATTCTGCTTAGACAACAAGCACTTCACAACTCATTCCTTCCATCTTTAGAAGCAAGCTGCCACTGACTGATAAGAAAAACAGAGAAGCCTCAAGAAGAAACCAACCCAGGAAAACTCTCCAAGACTTCAACATGAACTGGTGAGAGGAAGTGAGCTAAAACACTGGCAAGGGATTAGATTTAAAACTCTTGTAATGATTTTGTTGGGATATTGAAGTGCGGTTGTAACTTAAAAGACTAACAGTTTCCCCTCTTAATCACCAAGTGGTTAGATCTTGTGTTCCTGGAGAGGAGACAGAGGCTATACAGAGAAATAGTGGGATTTAATTGGATTTAAAATTCTTAATGTTGGCTAATTAGCCTGTCTCAAGACAGCATCTTAAATGGCTTCTTCTCAGTAACTGATTTATGTATTTTCTTTGGTTTCATAGTTAAGATTGCTTAGTTTGACAGCTCTGAACTGGCGTGTTTTTTATTAATAAACAACAGGTCCACCTTCCCTAAAATCATTTGTGTTTGGTCATTTGTGGAATTTCATGTTTTCTTTTTCTTTCTTTAATAATAACAAAATAAGCCCGGTTTAATAATTGTGATTATTTTGCTTGTTCTTGATCATGGTATCCTCTGTGGTATGTAAAATAAACCCTTTTGATTAAATAGTGGGAGCCACATCCCTGAGCTGGCAGTAAGAGAAAGAGTTAGTCAGAGCTGGCTGGCCTACTACCATTTCTTCTTTCTAGACTTAAATATTTCTAAACTAAATATTTTTAGTAATTTTTAAAACAAAATTACTTGGCATCCAACAACGTAAAACTACCCCTTTAACTCCACACCTTTCAGCCTTCACTGACTGTATATTCCTGTTTGTTTCCTCCTCTAGTCTCCATTTACAGTGTAAGTTCTTTTCTCTCTCCTTCCCTATCCCCGCAACACCTTTAGCTTTTTGAGCAGGCTCTTGTGAAGCTACTTTTCAGCCACTTATTTTGCCTTCTGTAACAGGACAGTAGGGGGAGGGCTGTCAGTAGTGGAGACTGAGCTGTGGATGCCTGCATCTAAAAGCATGAACCGCAACTGCCTGAGCTAAAAGACCTAGCTTTTGAAATAGCAGACTCAAACTGCTTTGTGATCCAGCCACGTGGGGGGGGGAGGGGAGGAGACGGGACAGACAAAGAGCCACATGTAAGTGTAAGGTACATATTTATTCTTTTTTTAGGGAACCACAGTCTGATGTGTTTTGGGGTCTTGCCCACATGCTCAGGGTCTAACTGATCACCATATTTGGTGTTGGGAAGGAATTTCCCTGAGGGTCAGATTGGCTGAGACCTTGGGGTTTTTTCACTTTTCACTGCAGCACAGGGCATGGGTCATTTGCAGGTTTAACCTAGTGTAAATGGTGTATTTGTAACTTGAAGTCTTTAAAACATGATTTGAGGACTTCAGTAACTCATCCAGAGGTTATGGGTCTTTACAGGAGTGGGTGAGTGAGGTTTTGTGGCCTGCAATGTTCAGGATATCAGACTAGATGACCACAATGGTCCCCTCTGACCTTAAAGTCTATTAATCTTTGTGTCTATTCAGATATTTCAGCATTTTCCCTCACTTGTAGATTTTGATACTTCTTCCCTTTGTACCATGTTCTCATAGATTTAGTTGAGCTGCCCCTGTTGGACACTTACCAAACTGCTGTGAGGGGATCCAAACACGGAACCCCATGTTACCTTGCTGGTAACCCCATGTTACCCCATGAACTTACCTTGCTGGGGAAGGGCAGAGTTTAGGCACGGTTCCTGGATTTGGGACTCGAGGCATACACTCCAGTACAGACCTGGTGTTTGACACCATTCCTGGCAGTGGGGACCTCAAAGTCCAATTGCCTTGCCCCTGAAATTAGTGACATCTCCTCCAGCCTTCCCCAGCAGGACATGGATCTTCCCCAGAATCCCATCAAAGGTGTGAGCCTTCTGGTTTACAATTTACCTTGTGAAGAATATGCAGTAGTGAAAGCCATCAGACACACAGACAGACTTTACACAGGATTCTTAAACACCATTACTCTCAATTTAGCAGCATAAGAAATACACAGAGCTGTACAAAATAACAAATACACCTATTGCATTGTCCTGCCACAGTTTCCTCACCACTTGGAAGAGTTCCTTGGGCTTGTATAAAGTACCCTGAGGCCGATGGGATCCTTCCCTTGAAGCTCAAAATGTCTCTCCAGAATCTCAGAGTCTTGCCAGCTCAGTTAGCCTTCTCACCTGGGCTGGTGCCATAGCTAAACTGGATCTCTCCCGTTATGATAGCCAGCACAATGAAAGTGCAAGTTTTGAAGTAATTCAGATTTTCAATTCAAAGGCCATTGATGAGTAAATGTGATGCAGAAATGATGTGCTTAGCCTTTGGAAAAGGAGCAGATTGGGAGATGAAAAGTGCCAATCATAATTTATCCCTGTTTGAACGATCCATAGAACAGCACTGATGGGAGCCTCAAATAAGCCAACATTTTTTGACCCAAGAAAAAGTCACACTGATGCTACTAAGGGCAACTAAGAGAGCTACACCTATAATACAGAGAACAGGCAGTGGTCAAATGAAGAGTTGGCCAGTGGCCAATTCTTGGACCCTTCCTGAAAGCAAAATGATTTATGCATAGGACTGGCTGGAAAACAAGAATTCTGTTTCATGAAAAAGAATTTGAGGTTTCACATTTGTTTTCATTCTGCTTTGCAATGAAAACAAGACCTTTCCAAATTTTTCACAGACACACACACACAAAAAACAACAACCCCCACACAGGGAGAAGGAAAAACAGAGTCCAGGATAACCTGTATGCCAGTGATTAGGCCACTCTTCTGGGGTGTGGAAGACCCAGGTTCAAATGCTTACTGTGTCAGATTTGGAGCAAAGATTTGAACTTGGGTTTTCCACATCCCAGGTGTACTCCCCTAACTTCTGGGCTATTAGCTATTCTGGGGTGATTGCTGTCTCTCATTTTGACCTGAGAAACCTCCCTGATGAAAATTTAGCCAAAACTGGTACATTTTCATGAAAAAGTTTTAGTTTTGATGAATCAGCATTTTCTGATGAAAAAATTTTTTGTCAAAAATTCCTGACCAGCTCTACTTATGCCCATATATTTTCCTACATTTCTCTAAAAGGAAAAAAAGATGATGTTCTAGGCTATGAACAACTACCTTTCCATTTGAGAGGTATCTCTGTTTTCATGTAGAAGATCAATAACCCTTGGCTGTTGATGTGAGCTGGGCAGAGAATAAAATCATTTGGACATTGGCACCCTTTTACACTAATTGGGGACTTTGTCTGTTTAGACATATGGGTGTACTGAAGTTCTAAATCTGTACATGCTCGTTAACCATTTGGTATCCAGAATTCCTCACATTTCTAAATAATCTTATTTTTCTAAGCCAAGCACCTACACATAGTCTAGCTGTCTGAACATTTTGGAATCTAATGGCTAAAGGATATATTACATCCTAGCATGTATTAGGCGAGGATTTTCCAGTAGAAATAGAGAAATATCAATGGCTTTGAACAATGCACTGGTAAGAGCTCACTTGGACTCCTCTGTATAATTCTGGTCACCCAAATTCAAGAAAGATGAATATAAACTGGAACAGGTGCAGAGAAGATCTACTAGGATGATCAAAGGAATGGAGGGCCTATTTTATGAGAGGAGATTGGAAGACCTTGGCTTATTTAGTCTCACAAAAAGAGAGCTGACAGAGGATATGACTGCCCTCTATAAATACATGGAGGGGTGGGGGGAGTGGAGGTAAATACCAGGGAGGGTGAAGAGCTCTTTAAGCTAAAGGACAAGGTTGGCACAAGAACAAATGGATATAAATTGGCCATGAACAAATTCAGGCTGGGGGTAAACAACTTTGTTTTGAGAGCAAGTTGGACAAATTTAGGAGTCCAATTGTAAAGATTGCTTGTGATGGTAGAGGGCAGAGCTCAACATCCTGGGGCTCATTTCTGGTGTATGTCTTATATTCTTAAAAGCTCATTCTTCGGCATTTCAGCCAGTCACCAGCAGGGGTTAGGAAGGGATTCTCCCCCACCATTTATTCTGGAGAGTTTTTGTTTTGTTTACATCTCCATCCTCTTCAGCATCAGGGATGGCCATGGCTGGAGGTGGGATACTGGTCTCATTGGGCCAGTGCTCTGAGGTGGCACCAAGCATTCTCTCACTCAGGTGCTTGGCTAGCAGGTTCTTCTTCTAACTGATGACCATATGTGGGGTCGGAAGGAATTTTCTCCCAGGTTGGATTGGCAGTGACCTTGGGGGTTTTTCACCTTCCTCTTCAGTGTGTGAGTGCAGGTCACTTGGCAGGATTATCTGGGTGTATCTCACTTAATCTTTTTCTTGCTATTGCAGGGGTCTCAAGCACCAGTGCACCTCAGTGCCTCCTATTCTGCCCGTGGCACATAATGATCTAGTCTCCTGTGTGCTGTAATACTTTGGTCTAATTTTGTTTGTTGGGTTTAGAGTGCAGGTGCTGGGTGGTATTGGTGGCCTGTGATATACAGGAGGTCAAATCGGATGGTCTGGTGGTCCCTTCTGGCCTCAAACTATATGACTCATTTTCTTTTTTCCATCATATACAACCAAATGGGTCCAGTGACACTCAGCGTATCCCAGCTCCCTGATTCCCTCCACAGGGAAAGAGGCAGCTATGGAGCTTTTAAAATACAGTCAGCTCCAGCTGTGGTCAGTGAGGAGACTGCTAACTCTGGAGAGATTCTCATAGACCTTAGAAGCTCTCTTTCTGTGTTAGTCTCAAGAGTAAATCCTAGCTGATTAATTAATTTTAAATCACATAAAAGAAACTCTAATATGTTGCGTTTTTACTCTTCTTTATAGGTAGATGCTCTGATCGGAATTCTATAGAACACTTTCATTGTCTTTTAACAAACATTGGATAGCTACCTGCGTGCCATTAGCAGCATGCCTCTGATTCAGACAAAAGATAAAGTGATTTTTCTGGAATTCCCTTTCCGCTCTGTCTGCTGAAAGTGCTCTTCACATAGGCCCATTGTTATACAACTCTCCTTGATTTCTGTAGCAAACATTTTTGATGGAGTTAAAATGACCACTGGCTCTTGAGTCATGAAGGTAGCTATGCAAGTTTAACTGTACTTTGTTATTGCCATGAAAGTGTTCATCAGAACATTGAGAAGAATCAGAATGGAGACAAATTTAGAACAGACTAAAGAAATAAAAATCTATTAAAGGCCTCCTTTCTTTCTCCTCAGAGGGCAATAAATAAATAAATAAATAAAGTGGTATGAACAGCGAGTATGAAATATACAGCTACTAGACCTCCATTTATGCATGATGTGATCTTGACCTGTATTTATCTATTCTCCATTTTCCTATATTTAATTTATTATGTACCTCTCCTAACCATATCACTACAAGCCACATGGAAAAACAAATCTCAATAACTGGATGTTTTTCTTTTGTTAAAGGGGGCAGACTTACTAGAGCATAAAAAGACAAATTATTATTTACAAGTGAGAAACTAATTTTTCACTACTCCAGATTGGAGCAAGAAATGATTTCACTACCTAAAAGTTAGTTGTGCTATACCCTTAGGAATATGTTTATGGACTTATTGAAAGTGTTTTTAATGTTTCATTTTTCCACCTCTAGCTTTGCAGTGTTTTCTTTGCTCTTTTATGAGTAAATGACCCTGATGAAAGCAGAAAAAAGGAAGCAGGAAAATAGTCTTCCAGCCAATAAAAAAAAAATCCAAATACAATATAGAGACCCTCATATGAATCTCATCAAATGAATTGCGTCAAGGGTAGATGTTACAAAGGTAGATGTTGTTACCTCCCTTTTACAGATGAGCAAAGTGAGACACAGAGAAGTTAAGTGACATACTCCAGGTCACAGAGCAAGCCAGTAGCAGAGTTGGAAAAAAAACCCAGTAGGTGTGCAGCCAACACAGTGATGATGAGCACAGGTAAGGTACAGAGAGAAGCTGGGTGTTGTTCTGATTCCTGGTCCCCTACCACTAGACCACATTGCTTCTCATTAGCTCAAACTTTCAGTCATGTTCATCTCTATATTTCTGATGACCGTTATTAATTGGATTAAAAAATCCTAAAAAATAGGGTGGGGGTGATCCACAAAAGGTCCAAAAACTTTGCCTAAAAGAAAACTGAAACCAAAACATTACAATTGCTTATTTCCCTTTACTTTGAATGTGCCTCCCCACTTTTAGCTGGCAGCAAAGGTACCAAAATATAGCAAGAGAGAAGAGACTATTCTTACTGTATTTCCATCCAGGCCAAGATCAGAAATACTAGAAACTTCATGTAAGTGTGAGCTTATCTGATTTCTAGTTCAATTTCAACATCAAAGAGATTTGAGAAAAGTTTGGCTCAAGTTCATATTATCACCTAAACTTCTGGGTACTCAGCTGAAGCATATTTCTAGGTTCATCCATGAGCACCAGAAATAACTCAGTTACTTTATCTCATTTCAAACCTTTAGCCAAACTGGGTCAGCAAGCACTTTTCAGAATACTCTGTGGGGAATTCATTGGTACATTATATCTAATTATGTTTGAACCCGCACTACTTCCTGACATAACATCTTTTCCACAAGTGTTTCAAAACCAATACCAGAGCAAACAGTATCACAGCATCAGAAAAAAATGACTCTCTAGTACTTGTTCCACACTGCAATGCAGAAGGGAAACTTTCAGGAATGGTATGACCATCTGTAGGGATACACTGGGTCTCAGATTACTGTGAGCTCCTGGAATCAAAGCAGAGACTCAGTATTGGGATATACAGCATTACATCTGTGCCGCATGAGCAGCCACTGCTGACCAAACTCCCCAAATCGTCTCTTAAACCCTGACTCTGCACCACTGAAGTCAAAGGGATTTTTGCCTTCGATTTCAACTGGAGCAGGAGGAAGACCTTGGAGTTCACCTCATCTTTGCTCTGTTCTCCTGTAGTCATTTATACCAGTGCAAAGTGAAGGCATTCTATTACCACTTCACAGCCATTTCCCCCATGCAGACAATGGGCTAGCCCCCTTAGCTTCCACTGGCCGGGACAGAAAACCTGTGATTTCTTTTAACTGGGCCAGTGTCCTCTGTGGTTGTTCTAAAGTCCTGGACAGGAACTGAGGGAGGGAGGGAGGGAGGGGGGAGAATATACCCAGGACTTCACAGGCCAGATTTTTCCATTCAGATTCCAGAGTTCTCTTATTATGATTTTATCCTTAGGGTTTCACTCTGTTCTCCAGCCTTATGTTGAAGTATTGATTTTACTTGCAGGGTATTTCAGGCTTTCTGATGCACACCACCTATCACTTTTGTGTATTACAATGTAAACTGCATATCAAAAGAAAGCTGGGTTTCTTGCCTGTCCCAAATACAGACTTGCAAGATGAGTGGCATTCGGCCCACAATACATTTTCATGCTAGAAGATGGAAAAGTTTGATGCTTTCTTCAAAGTTACCACATACTATGGCAGAGCTGCTTGGCTGCAAGTGCAAACAACAGGTATAAATAACATCATCTGCCTTGGAAAGCGAGAGCATGATAAGGCACTTTTGCTTAGGGTTGTTTTCTACATAACAGCCTATGAGCTCTGGGTATTTTAATGCTCTCTTTATGCCGCTGGAGCCAATCGGAGCAGAGAGAGATTACACTGAGGAGGTAAACAAGTTGTTTACAACTCAGCAGGGCTGCCAGTGTATCCGACTTATATCAGCTGAAAGGCAATAAGAGCTTTGGACACTGGGCTGCTGATGGGAAAGGAGCCCCAGAGCTGCTAAGCTCTGGCTCCAGAAATGCCTGTGGGTCTTCAATAACAGGAAATCACGTGTGCTGTCATTATCAGCTGCTGAGAGAGAGACAGATGCACCCAGATCAATATCAGTGTCCAATATCAAAGACATATTATGATTGTACTGAGCATATTGAACTACGAAGAACAACAAAACTATTTTAAAATGATGATGGCTGGCAAAAATCCCAAGGGTCTCTCTTTTTTGTCCCCCTCCTCCCCGTTTGGAGGCAGAGGATTCAAGCTTCACAGTTATTAAAGAAACTGAGAGTTGTTTCTGCCTGAAGTAACTTTGATCGTTATTGATCTAATTAAACTATGTTTGTTTAGGGGTCTATGGAAAGGGGTTGTAAATCAGCAAAGACAGCAATAACCGTCCTGACCTCTTGTAACTGTAAAGCGATATCTATTAGTACAGTTTGGGAATCAGCATGTTTTCCAGTGCAATTGAAACCACAGTACGTCTCTGGAGTGCACAGCAATTGTGCTATGTTACTGGCTTTCCTTAGAAACAAGATTGGAGGGGAAGAAAAATATATGAATATGTATGAATGTGCACCTACGCCAAGATAATAGCGCTCAGGACCATTATCGTACTAGCTTCATATGAGCAAAAGATTCATTTTGTAATGAATGCTGTATTGCTTGCACTTTATTTCACCAAAATAAACTACAATTTAAAAATCAGACAAATCACCTTTAATGTAATACAAACCATATACTAAGGGCCAAATCCTGCTCCACGCACAGATGCAGCCGTCACATAACTTTAGATGCTATTTTAGATTTTTTTAAAATGGAATGGTTAAGCTTTTTTTTATTTTCTCCTTTCAAAACATGGCAGGATTCTGGTCTAAAGGCTTCAGTCTCAGGATGCCCACGGAAAATCCATAGCTAGCAGCAGCAGAATACAGCTTTCCATGTGGGCCTATCCTGCAGTGACTTAACAGATATACTCTGATATACATGGAATGACTCTTTCAAAAGAGACATTGGATGTTGCTTTCCCCACCCCTTCAAAACACTCCTTCATCTTATATGAAATGAGAAACATACAACTAGCTTTCTTAAAGTGAACTACCCCTTCCCCTCCCCCCAAAAGCTGCTGTCCTGTTTTAAGAGTTGAAGGTTAAAGATCTTTTTTTCTTTTAGCAGTTCTGATGGATGGAAGCTAATGCGCTTGCTTTATGCTGTATAGTTCATAGTACAGGCTCTGCGTGGGCGTATGTTTGTGTATGTGTGTGTGTAAGCTTCCCACATAATCCTGCATATACTATAAGGATGAGAGGTGGTTTAGCTTGAATGTTAACAGCCACATACATATTTCTCTCAAATGTAAATCAACTACTTCAATGGAGCTAAACAGGGGATCTGGCCCCAGGATTTTATGTGGGTCTTAATTCAGGTTAGAGAACCGCATTTGTCTGAGATCTCCCAAACTCACTGCAGTGACTACAAGTTTCAAGAGCTCAGTTTTTTGATGGCACGTTGTGAAAAAGTGGCCTAGCTTTCAAACGTACAGGGTAGTTCAGTAATGGGAGCATTGGCTAGCAGCTATTTTCTTTTCTGTTGAAAAGTCTTCAGCAAGCAAAGGGTTACACTAAGCCGTTTTTAGTGCTTGCTTGGGATTGTTTACTGTTTTTCACACAACCGCCTTGCTGCATGTTTCAGGTGCCTGAAGGAGATAGCCTCTGGAGCATCAGTCTCGTCTGGTACGATAAAATAGACGAGTCATTAATGTGATTCTTCAGATCCCCGTAGGGAGATCCAGAAATGCTGCAGAATAAACAAGCAGAGGAAATAATGAATGAGAGCAAATCAGAAAGGCAACAGAGCATGGTAGGACCTACAGCCTGTAGTAAACAAGTGCACATGCAACTCTGGAACCGCCCCTTTCTCAGCGTGATTAGACCAACGGCCCTAGAACAGAGTTTTCCACAGAAAGCGATTACAGCCTTGTCTACATTCCTTTTTTTAACTTGCCCCAAGCCTGGATTCTGAGGCTCTCGACCCACGTGCTCTGAATTCATCATTCTATTTTTACAACTGTCTGAGAGCCATGGTTTCTTCTGGCAGATCCACTCTTAATGCTATTACCTAGCAGAGGAGAAAAGAAACATAGCTACTAAAATAACTGTGTATAATAGAAATAGATGGAAAAGACATTGTAGGTCATGTAATCTATGACCCTGCCAGCCAAGCTTGTTACCTACAGAATATATGAGAGTGCTTTGTACAACCGTTTCTATATTTATATATTATAGTCTCCATTGCAGAGGGAGATTTTTCAGTGAGACGGTCTTTTTTCTTGACCAATTAAACACACACACACATTCACTGTGAGCCAAATTTGCTGCCAGTGTAAATGGGCACGCCCTCATTAATGTCGATCAAACCATATCTGTTTACACCAGCTGGGAATTTAGCCCCTTCTCTCTCTCAATATTTTTTGCCTATTTTTTATGGCACAAAAGGTTACTCCCTGGAATACACAAATGTAAAACAAGGTCACTGGTACTGAACTGAATAAAACAATCTTAATGTTTCCCAGCAAAAGAAAGATAAATATGTTTGAATCACGGTGTCTTGCTATTTTTTTAAATTTGCTACCAAGTTTTCTCCTTAGCATAGCATTAATATGAAAATTGTTCAAGAGTCCTGAATGACCTGTTGTGGTTTTGGGTTTCATACTGTTATCATTTATTTCAGCCAGAGGAGTACATATTCCAGGGATTGTTTTTAAACTCCCCAAATATTGTAATGAATCAATGGCCATCTGGGAAAGTTATAGACATCATTCTGCTGCACACTGTGGTCACCGGAATAAGGTACTCAGATCCTTCTCCTCCAATGCCTTAATCCTGCATCACCGGAGTAGGGAGTTTTGCCACTGACACAAATGGGAGCAGGAGAAGGCCTCAAAGCACAGGCCCTGCCACTTGCTATAACTCAAGTATTATTACTTAAATGTTAACATTATAGGAACTAGGATACACAATTGAGCAGGTCTGACTCTGTCCAGTAGAGGGCAGCGGTACACAGACAGTAATTTGTTATACACCTCTACCCCGATATAACACGACCCGATATAACACAAATTCAGATAT